GCTCGCATCCTAGCTGATACTTCCAATATACATAATATGTATATAAATATATGAATATATATATATATTTATATACATAAATAACAAATATACATCACATTTATTATATATTATACATTTACGCACGTACGCACTTATACTTTTAATTGCTTTTACTTACTTTTACTTGCTATTTACTATGCACGTGTTTACTTAAATCACAATTTCTGCATGAAGGTTACTTTTACTTCACTTATTTATATCTACCTGAACTAAAAGCTGAGTGGATTTGCCAAAATGGATCTAGGAGGTGCGGCCACAGTTACAGGATGCACATCTGCTTTGCCGAAAGTAGTGTAATCCACCAGATTTTACAGAAAACGAAGAAAATACCGATTGGTGCTCGCTGTAATGGATATACAGGTGGAGCATAACCATTCACACCATTCTCCTCGATTGGCATCACCGGTTTACGAAGATTTGTGATGTTGTACTGGTCATTATCCGCTTCACCGCCACCTTCCACATCGTATGGCCTCAGGTTGTCGCGATTGAGATCCTCGGGACGTACAGGCTCAAATGGAGGTGTCTGTCGTCGGGTGTACACAACCATCAGAAGAACTAACACTGCAAATTGGATCAAATTTCAGAGGATGTTTCTCAAATAAATTCAGATATGCTAGGATCGCTAGCTAGCTGATGAAGCAGTTTTGATCATAACAACGAAAAAAAAAACAAGGTGTATAGATGCCGACGAAACGACAAGTGATCAAAATATCAAAAATGGTTAAATTTTTGATATTAATTTGAAATATGAGTTAATTTCGTGAAAATGCTGTTTTGAATGCCTCGAATCAAGATCTAGAATTCGATGTCTTTTCTGACAACGAAAAATGCTGAGTTGCATGCTCGGATAAAGACCTGACTCTCGACAGCTTACTGCTAGAATATGAGTCCTCCAAAAACAGATTTCCGTAATAATACACGAAAATTGCCCGTCCAAAAACGGCTAAACCAAATTTTCAGCCTTCAAGCATCGGCGAAAAGGAGAATCTTCTCAAAATGCCTTCGCGAAACCCCACTAATTTCTCGGTTCTTCTCCATGTTTCCGTCTCACCTTATTGCTGCGCTATTTTTCTTAGTGCAACGAAGAGGATTTGGCAGGGGCAACTGAAAATGGTAAAGGACTGCATCATCTTTTTGATCGATTATCGATAAGAAGATTGGCGAATCGCGTGAATGGCCGTTTTTGACGGTATTTTTTGAGCAGATAGTATGTTCGGGAATTACAAGACGTATTCTAGCCTTTGAGTGCTCTCGACGCTGTACCCCGCAACTGTATCTTTCGACGCATTTATTCCGACGATGTTTCCCAGCGCCGCAAATTTCGGCGATATTTTATGGCGGCAATTTGCGACGAGCATCTCAACGATGTCGGCAACCAATGACAAGCCATTCAGGGTTAATTTTGCGCAGAAGTTCACCACAGTTGTCAATTTTCATTCCAGTGGTATTACGGTACTTCAGTTCCTTGCGATTTCCCCTAGCCGGGTTTTTATTTTGTCTGTAATTTGTGTCCTCATGAACAGAGAACATGTTGATTTGGCGGAAACTTACTGATCAACAAAAGTAAGCATATCAGGATAAGAATGATAGCGGGGCTCGAGATTCCGAGACTGCTGACTGCTAAGGTTTCGCCACAACCAACCAGTTCACCATCCACACCAAGAAGCACCTGCAAAAAATCAGACTACTTTTCCAGAACTGCTTAAAGCCAAAGGGGACTGTATGCGTTCTACGCGTGATACGGGGACATCCCAGTAGCATCAATAACGTGAGATATTCACAACGACGACGCTTGGGTGAAATTGTTATTCTTAGTACCCAAAATTTTAATTTGTCTAATTGTTGAAAAACTCACCTGAGCTCCTTCCGGGCATGTACAAAATGGTCCCTTCCAGAAATCAACACAAACAAACGAGCCACCACAATACGTAAATCCAACATTAGCGCATGTCCTTCGCTGTGGACAGCCCAACTCCACACCTTTTGACTGCTTGATTGTGATAATTGACTCGGTACCACTTTGGCTATCGCTATTGCTACCGCCATTACCATTCGATGACGAACTATCAGCATTTTTGTTGAGAGGTAAATTGATATGTTGCCATCGAAAGGTACCAACGCAACCCTAAAACAAGGACAGAATTTAGTAAAATTAAGCGAACGGCGAAGATGCGTGTTAAAATTTTAGTGCTAAAATTTCGATATTTTATTTTTTTCACGCGCTCTGCTCCATTTTTCGAGCTTTTATTGATTATGCATAATTTTTTAGAAAATTTGCTATTTTTGGCATTTTATCTAATCCAAGAAAATTCTCCCCAGACTTTGATTTTTCTTTAACCAAAAAACTCATGAAATCGAAAAAGAAGCTTAAAAAATCGTAAAATCAATCAAATTTCAATTCAAATCATTCAAAAACCGTGTGATTTTTCAGAAAAGTCAATAACTGTTTGCACAAACTGATATCAAATTCACTCCAGGTTATTTACTATATATAAAAAAAATAAAAAATTGAAAAAAATTAGGAAATGCATTAGAAAAGATGGCCCACCCTAAAGCCTTTGGCACCATAAACACTTTGTGCACCAAAAAGCAGCTCGTTGATATCAA